CCCAAATTTGGTTCCTTTATCCTCTTCAGCTTCCCTATCTTTGTCAACCATTTTTATCTTTTTTTCATCCATTTGCTGCATGTGTTGGAGAAATGGGCCAGGTGCACTTTGTTAGGGGGTGTCTTTCCTTTTCAATCGCTTTTGGGGTTTGTCTTGAATTAAAGGCTTTTAATACGTGGGTGCTGATGGAATTGATGAACTCCCAGGTATCGATAAAGGTGAATTGGAAGAAACTTGAACTAATGCAAATGATGGTGAGGCAGAAGTTGAAATAGATGGGTAGGGACATTCCAACTGATCTTCGGAAAAACTTGTTTCTGACCCTTGACTGTATGCTCCAGGTGAAATGTCCACATTGCTGTGAGTAGGCAAATTTGAAGTTTTCTCGTGAAGAAAGCACATGACTTCAAAATATTTGCATACAGGGAGATATGCTGCAGCAGCTTTTGATCTTGCCATGGGTCTTCTCTTGTCAAACCTTTTTTTAAGGGAATCTTTCAAATTTTTAAATGTTTTCTGCAAAAAAGGAACTAAAAAATAAAAACAGAAAAATAATGATATTTTGAATTCATCATTTGTTTATGTTTTGGGACCTTTCATTCTGTTTATGTTCATGTTTTTTTCAGTTCAGTTTAGGGATCTTTCATTTTTAAGTCCCATAGGGACCAGAGGAATTTTTTTGAAAAACAATCTTTATGTGACAACCCCCTTTTTATTCATATGAGAATAAAATGAACCATCCCAAGGTAAAAGTATTGAGACTCAAAAACGGGTCAGTAGAATTGATCAGTTGCTCTCTGTGGTTCTCATCAAAAAGTCAAATCAAAAGCAACAAACTAAAAATCAGGAGAAAGAGAGATAATAACAGAAAGGCAATTATGGGGTTCAAAAAACAATTGAGATCTAATTCTTTAGAAATGCTGAAAAGCTTAGTTCTGTTGGGAAATCTAGAACAATTATATTCTAGTATTCTAGAACAACTTACTTTGTATTCTAGATAATTCCATTCTAGAAACTATAAGAACAATTTTATAAAAACACCAGCCTCAAAACTGGTCAAAAGTCAAGAACAAATTAAGAACAAGCTGAGGCTTAGCTTCTGCAAAATGCAATTTTGAACAACGTTTTTGCTCAAAATCGAGGATTTTTAGCAATGTGTGGGTGCTTTTTCGGTGAATATTCCAATTTTACAATCCAGCCTCAGATTTTCGAAAAAATTAAAAACAATCAGCCTGAACTTAAATTTACTGGTTCTTATAAAAAAAATGTATCGTTGCAATTTGCTTAGTTATGCGTTTATGTTTAATTTTACTATCATTAGCTAACCTACTGCACTAGACATTCGAGAACTTTGGCCTATCAGCATGAAGTTGTTGTTATAACATCGTTTTCCTTACTGCCTCATTGTTAGCCGGTTGCTCTGGAATTATCTGGAAATTAGTTTATTTATGTAATCATTGCTAATTTCATATTCTAGTAATTATGATTCAGCATCCTAGAAATTTCTATCGTAAACGTATATATATACGCACAAAATAGTAGTTGCAGGAGAATAAGACTTGAATGAGAAATTTACATTAAAATTCTGCGAGTTTTATTTAGGGCTGATTTATATGTCGCGCTTATCTCGCACCGAATGAAATACTTTGCCTCTTCAAAATCTAAGTATCGATTAGATTCAACATTAGCACGGCGTATAAATCCAATTTGCAATTTAGCTCGATACAAATGCTAGGTGCGACTCAAGTTCGTCATGGTCAGCCGTGCTACACGACCAAAGCGCGAGTTGGCTTTAGACGTCGCGCTTTTGATGACTTGAATCAAATAGTGTTTTTTCCAGTCCGTCAAATACATTAGTTGCGCAAGCGCAGTGGTGCTAAGTTTTTGTTGGCGCCAAAGTATAGTTGGGTTGTTCTTGCTTCTTGTATTCATCTCTGAAGGAAAATGGCAGAAACAGACGTGTATGTAAGCAATAGCGTGGATTGCGGCAGCGAAAGTGAGGAAGCTGGCGTGGAATCCGAAATTTTTAATGAGGACGAAAGAGGGAGTTTTGGGTCAGAAAGTGAAGCGGAAGAGGCATGTAATGTGTTGTTTGAAAAGCGAAAGAAAAAGGCCGGGAAGAAGTCATCGTGGCCAATGGACATAACAAACGACCTAGTGGACGTTATCTGCGATAATGAGTATTTTCGCAAAAAACTGATTTTTACAAACACAAAGACTAGCAAGAACGGAGAAATTTATTTGAAGGTAATTTGAATTTTTTGTGTATTCTCAGCGTGATATTACAATATTATAATTATTTTAACAACTCATGTAATAAACAAAGCTGAATGACTCATGGAAATAACCCAGAGAGGGCTTTCGAGCCATGAGCCATTTTAGTTACATGAATTTGATCGATATATAACTCATAGGTTCTAGTATTTTGAAATCAGGAATTTCTATCTTTTGGAATGGAATTCCAAATATCAACACCAGAATTTGTTATAGAACCTTTACCATAGCTTGTTGTAAAGGATGGTTTGAAAAATTTCCCTGATGTAGCATGCCTTGTTTTAAAGTTATGAATGTCTTTGGATTTTTTTTAATAATTTCCCAAAAGTAGTATTATAAATGTTACTATTTAAATTGTACATAATTTTAGCACATTTGAATTTATAACAATCTTCAAGATCAAGAGGGTTTAGATATTTGAAAAGAGGTTCACTGTGCTCAGTTTTACTTTTTAATGTTATTAATCTTACGGCTTTTTTATTTTTTTATTAATTGGGTCAAGAGTGGTTTTAGATGCATTTCCCCAATTTAAAAGACCGTAAAGAATATTTGGTAGTACAAATGCATTGTATATGTTTAGCAATACTCTTTGTGGAACAAATTGTCTTACTTTACTTAAAATGCTGATTCCTTTTGCAACTTTTGTGTTTACATTTTGAGGTAATCAAAGAGGTGGAGAAACGTTGCCAGGCTAGGAGACAAGAATACAAGTTCAGCCTTGTCCAAACTAGAAATAAGTTCAAGAAGTGCGTGAGTGAGTGCAAGAAGGCTGCCTTAACCTGCAAATCTGCATCTGGCATAAAGCGATTTCAGGAGGACAGGGACTATGGAAAATGGTTTAATCAACTGCTGCCTCTTGTCAAGTCCAGAGAATCTTGTCAGCCAGAGCAGGCCATTGAACCATCAACTTGTTCACATGACAGTCAAGAAGAAAGTCCAACCTCAACTGAAGTGAATCATGTAAATGAAGAGGGGGGCTACAACAACAATGAGTTTGGCCAAGGTCCTTCACCAGAGACCTCCTCAGGAACTTCAACTCCCACAAGAGCAAATCTTCCTTCAAAGAAGAGGCCATTTGTTCCCATCAAAAAGGCAGCTGGAAAAAAGGAAAAGCTTGATAATCTGGTAAAAATAACATCAAAAGCAATCCTTGAGGTCACTGAGCAGCTAAAAAAGGACCCAATGGCTGACATGCTAGCATTTCTTGAGAGAGAGAATCAAAGATCAAGAGAACATGAAATGAGATTACTCACAATGATGTTCAATGGAAATCAAGCACAGCAGCAATTCCAACCACCAGTTCCACAGCCTCCTTCTTATCAACATTTCCCCCAAAACATGCAGCAGTCATACAGTATGGATCCAAGACAACAATTTCGACAAGCATTTACTCCACAAGATAATTATCCTCCAAGGAATCAAAACTTTGAACATCAATCCCAGTCAGATGATTTATTTCAGCTATAAACATTTAGAATCACATCATATTTCAGTTTCATATTTCAGTTTCAGTTTCCATTCATCTATCAATTAATCCTAAATCCAATCTACAAGTAATTACATAAGAAACATTATTTAATACAAACTACAATGTACAACATAAGAACATAAGTAGTGTATAAATAGTGTCAAAGTGGCTCCAGAAATCACAATTGTCAAGAATTATAATTGAAACTTTGTCAGTTTTCCAAAGCTGATGCAGCTTACTCTCCATCCCCTAATAGTAGGGGGGACTTATTAAAAAGAGGCAGTTGGAAATTTGCCCAGGATAAATAATTGTGGAGGGTGTTAATAAATGGAAATGGGTTGATTTTGTCATGCAGCGCTTAAATAGGGGTGTGATGTTAATAGTTGGGGGGTAACATTAACTTTTTTACATTTTGTTGAAAAGATATTTCGATACTAAAAGATACTATACCAATTCATATAACAAGGAGGAAAAATGTAAACGACCTATCAGCGTTCTGCTCTCAAATGGGGTAAAAGCCAATCAGTGCTTCTAATAGCCCCTTGAATCTTGCAAAATATCAAAAATAGCTGCCAAAAGCCTTTGGGGTGTTGTCTAATAAATGGGGGTGGATGGAAAAAAGCATTTTTTTCCTTTTTAGGGGGGTTTTAATAAATGGAAATAGATGGTAATTTTGTAAAATTTTGGAGTTAGGGGGGATACTATTAAGGGAGGGAGAGTATTGAAAGTATGGGAGCTTTGCATCCCCTAAACTTGCTGCTTTTCTAAAAATAACTTGTCTTTCAAATAATCACGAACCTGTGCTGCAGAACGATTTGTATCTCTTAGAGGTCTGCATTGCCTTATCATAAGAAGGTCTTGGATTTCTTCTTGTGTACGTCTTTGATTTGATGCTGAATCTTTGGAGAGGTCCCATTGCCTTTGAGCCAAATCTCCTTGTTCGATGCAAATGTTATGTAGTACTACACAAGCTAGTGTAACTGCACGTACTGTTTCCTTATCATTCTCAGACTTCCTGAGCAAGACTCTCCATCGACCTTTCAGTTGTCCATATGCACACTCTGTTACCATGCGTGCACGACTCAACCTATAATTGAAATAGCTCTGCTCTGGCATCAGTGTAGCATTTGTGTAAGGCTTCAGCAGCCAAGGCTTGAAGGGGAAGGCAGAATCTCCCAGGATTAAAGGTGGAATACTGACGCCATTCTCATGATGGGCAATAGGTGGAAAGGCTGTACCTTCAGCTAGTTTGGTATAAAGGTTTGTTGCTTGAAAGATTATGGCATCATGTGAATTGCCAGGCCAACCAGCACTTGCCCATATAAATCGATATTTGGCATCTACCATTCCCATTAGAACGATTGAGTAGAAATTCTTAAAATTATGAAATTCTTTACATGACTCTTGGCCACCAGGTGGGCACTTAATTGGTATGTGACACCCATCAATTGCAGAATATGCAAAAGGAAACTGCTATTCTTGTTCCATTTCTTTCATTTTCTCATTCAGCGTGTCCTTGCTATGTGGAAATTTGGCCTCAACAAATTCTTCCCATAAATTTTCAATGATTGCCTTAGCTACCTCTCTCACTATGTTGCACACAGTTGTTTCACCGACACCAGCTAGCTCTGAAATGGTATTGTAGTAGTCTCCTCTACTGAGTTGATACAAGCAAATTGCTAGTCTCATCTGGGATGGAATTGGTTCTTCTGTGACGCTCTCCTTCGTTAAATCATCCTTGATTCTATCATGAATTAAGGAAAATGTTTGCCTAGTCATTCTAAATGTCTTTTTAAACCTTTTCTCGGAATATACTGTCCAAACGAGGTTCCACCAACCAGTGTTTCGCTGCAACCTACGGCATGATCTTATCCTAGGCCTAATAGGCACTGCAACTGCTTGTTGTAAACCAGTAAGAATCAACTGTAGCAAAAAAGAATCCGCAAAAGCCTACACCGTCTTCTGTTCATCAAATTAATCATCATTGCTTGCATATTCTGTCGTCTTCTCCTGGCTCCAATAAGCGACTTCAGAAGAAGCACTTTCTTTAGATGCGTGAAGGGCGCCATACGTGATTTGTCTTTGCTTCGAGTGTTTTCAGTTTATTGGTTCCCTGTGGCTGGCAACTCGCAGAAGTGTATTTTGCTATTGGCACGACAAAAGTTCATCGTCTAAATCAAAATCAAACTCCTTTGTCGCGCCAAACTCGTGCTTTCGTCGGTTCTAATTATATTAGATTTGGTGCGAGATAAGCGCGACGTATAAATCAGCCCTTAGTGTCACTGGGAGTTCTATTGGGCACAGGACTAAGGGAGAGAATTCCCCACACTAAAAGTGGCAACCTGCCAGGAGTTGATAGGATTGGAAAATTCAACAAGATGACTTCAAAGCAATTGTTTCAAAGGGATTTATAGAGGAAATCCATACAACTTGAGGAAACTTTACATTCGGGAGATAAAGAGGATATATCATCTGAATATGAAAAGAATCTGTGAAACGATAAAGGATTTGGACAATGCGAGAGAAAAAGCTGTTGATACTATGCTTGAGGAAGAGGAAGAGTCATTAGAATCAGTAAAGGAATGGAGCCAAGAAACAACAAATCAACAAGTTTTGAGATATGCGGAGACAGCTGAAAGAAAAATTAGCCAGCCTTGAGGAAAAAGAGCTACAGAAAAAAACAGCAAAGGGAACACAACCAACAATGTATTGCTATGGAGGAACAGGCAAAATTGGCAAGAGACCAACTAATGGAGACAGAAAAGGCAAAACTAAGACAACTACAACTAGAGGAGGAATGGATGCAGAAAAACCTACAAATTGAACGTGAAATCATGCTGCAAAACAGGGAGGACAAAGCAAGAAAGAATCAAGTGGTAAAGCTTAGAAAATACACAATAACGCCATTCAGAGGGGATCACAAGGATTGGCTATGCTTTTGGAACCAATTTTCGGTGGAGGTAGATGGTTCAAACATAGCAGAAGTAAGCAAATTGAATTACTTTCTTGAATTGATTGATGGAAAGCCAAAGGACGCAAAGAGAAGAAGCAAAAAGAAGCTTACAAACAACATATTGGAAGGACATAAAGGTACGAAAGGTACGAAATGAACTGGAAGAATTGAAACCTATAACGATTATCAATCAGATCCGAGAAACGCATGAATTTTATAACAAGCTTGCGAGAGTCATACAAACGCTTGCAATGATGAAGATAGAAACCTTGCAAAGCCATGTCTTTGTTGATCGATAAACTGGGGCCAGTTAGAGAAGCAATGGTGCATAAAAAAAGATGATTGGGAAGATTGGGATTTGGAACAGTTAGTAGACAATTTGAGGAAACATGTAGACAGGCACCCCTTGCCAATGGTAGATTTTACATCGCCGATTTATAATGTTTACAGGAAGCAGCGTCAAGAAACAATGCCTCAATGGAAAAGGAGGGACAAAATGCTGATGTCTAATGCTTTTCAACGAAGCTCTCAGAAGTCAAATGGATGTGTTTATTGTGGCAAGTGCAACCATCGAAGTACAGATTGCTTTGAAGATTCTAAATGTTGCACACCGGAGGGTGATACTGAAGAAAAATAGCATTTGTTCAATAGACCCCTTTCACATTGCATCGACTTAAAATCCAAAACGAGGCTAGAGTTGTTTCGGTGCCGAACATCAGAGATCAACCTCTCTGCATCTATAAGTCTTTGAGATCTATTATCGCCGTTTTGTAAAAGATTTCCATCGATTTTCGTATTAAAGATATGGATCAATTTATTTCATTGTTACCTGAGGGGAAGGCGGTTTCCTGCATTGAAGATTTCTCTATATTAACTGTCAAAGAGCTCAAGAAAGTTTTGTTGGCCTACAAAGAGAAGGTCTCAGGTGCCAAGGCTGATCTAATTCTCCCTGCCTATGCGATTTTTTCGCGATTAGAGCAGCAAGAAACCAGTGCCGTAAGTACATCCGAACCTGTGTTGGTTGGAGAAGACGCTGAGTGTACGTATAACGCCATCTTCTCCTCAAAATGCAGCCATTTGCCGTGGTCCTTGGACCTCAGATGGACTCCGGGCTTTTCTTTCATTCAGTCAGTCTTGTTTTGGCCTAATTCAAATTTTAACTCCACAAAACCAACAAACGGAATATCGGTCCCATTTGCTGCTGCTATATTTAGATCTTGGCCTTCCCCCAATATTTCACTAACATTTCTAACTTTAACCAATGGAAAGTTTCTTTTTAACCATTTATTTGACACAATAGACAATTGCGCTCCAGTGTCCCACAATGCGTTTACTTGCTTCCCATTTAATAGAATATTTAAATTACAGCGACGTCCCACCAACTTGGCGACTTTAGCGTGTTCTTTTGGCGTTAAATGACTTGGAAAATAGTTTGTACTTGACTTTTCTTATCAATTTCTTTGAGTTCTTACCGTTTAATAGCAGAACACAATACTTTGTGATTTTTCCAATGTGAAATTTGACAAGATTTTGTACAGTATATCACTTGTTTGCACTGAGAACATCTTTTAACATTTTCTTTTTCAATTTCTTTGCAACAAAACATGCATTGTTGTTGTGAAAGGGGCTTTTGGCCAAGTTCTGGGTCTATCGGTTGCCCCTCCTCGACAGACCACTCTCGTTTCACTGTGTTTGACTTTTCCTTTGAGGACAATTTTGCTTAAAACGCTCTTCTGAGCCACATCCAAAACAATGGTTACAAGAATTTTCCTTGCCCTCTTGCTTACACCTTGTACATGATGGTTTCTTGTTCTGGTAGAAATTAGAATTGCTGTATTGAGGCCTTACTTTATTAGCCAAAAGCCTATTCATTTTCTCACTACTTATCTGCACTTCCATTGCCTCAACTTTTGTTTGCAACTTTCCAGCTTTTGGTTCTCTCTTTGTTTGATTATAAGACCTTTCATCACAACATCATGTAGCTTCTACCTCTTTTATTCTAACTTTAGGCCTAACACTCCCTATCAGCTTCCTATGTTCTTCCTCTCTAGCTATTATATCACTCAGAGTTGTGATAAGATTCTGATCAGATATTCCTGGATCACTTAAGCAAGGTCCCATTTTTGCTCTGATAGTGGGATCTCTCATCCCCAGCTCTAAGCGATGCAAAAACAAAGACTGTACCTGTTCTGGGGTATATTGGATCTCTGACCCCCTTCCTTGATCACAAGCTAAAATAACTTGTTGATGTAATGCAAGGGCTCTTGTGAGGAAAGTGAGAGCATCTTCTTCTACCATTTGACTCAATTTTGCTAGTTCTGTAAACAAATCAGTGGTGTTTTTCTTCCCAGAATGGGCCTGCAAAATTTCTTTCAAATCTTTGAGTGTTAGATTTTGCATAGAATCTAGGTATTTCTTAAGCTTAAGGGATGGAGCCATAGCTTTGATTACCCCTTCAACAATTTCAGAAGCAGTGAAACTTTTGTTTTGACCAGCATCAATTTGTTTCAATAAACTTATGTATGTCATGGTATTCCTGTCATGAGGGTCTCTCTTTCAATCTGTCCGCTAATCTTGAAATCACGCCTGATAATGTTGGTCATGGGGACAGCTATATTAGATGCACCTACAAAACTTCTCTGTACTCGCCCTGTAGACCTATTTTACTGTTTTACTTGCATCTTTATCAGCAGCACTTTTTAGCCTATTTAATTGGGCTTGCAAGCTTTTAATCTCATTATCAGGGTTATATGCATCCTCATTAGCCTCTCTGATATCCAAATTATCTGAAACAACATCATCTGGCTTCCCCCCCCCCCACCTGTGGGATCTCTGGGGTCTCCCTTCTCTGATAATTTGAGGACATCCAAAACACCTGTTAAAAACTCATGTTGCCCTTCTATATCACCTTTATTTGCCTCTAAACTTTCAGAAATATGTTTTCTTACCACTCTAATC